GGTCAAAGTAAAATTATTGATTTTAACCTGAGTTTTTTAACTTACTGAGTTCCCAAAACTAATTTCCTGATCCACAACTCAGCCCCAATGTGTACTTTGTACTTGGGCCAAGAAAATTTGTTTTGCCTTCCCCTTGACACCCTTCAGGCTCCCCTGGTGGCTCAGATGATAAAGAGTCTTCCTGCAATGCGGGAGACCTGGATTCGATCCCCGGGGTGGGAAGATCCCCTGGAGAAGGGAGTGGCTACCCACTTCAGTATTCTTGCCTGGAAAATCCCATGGACAGAGGAACCTGGCAACCTCCAGACCATGGCGCCACAGAGAGTCTGGACACGACAGAGCGACTTTCACTTTTTTGATACCCTTCATAATCTTTCACTGAATCGCCACATATGCTGTTCTCTTCATTTGACCCGTTATAACTCACTGAGTTCTCTTAAATTTTCAGGTTTCGCTAAAAACTTGGTAGAGCCACCCTGAAGTAATTATTCATTATAATCCTTACCACTGTGTTAAGGAAAAGAACTCGAAGGAGCCATTTAATTTCGCGAAGGCTCAGTTTCTTCATTTGTATAAAGGGAATATTATCTATCTCTTAGGGTTTCGTAAAGATTAAATAATAGGGCTTCCCTGATAGCTCAGTTGGTAAAGCATCCACCTGCAATACAGGAGACCCTGGCTCGATTTCTGGGTTGGGAAGATCGCCTGGAGAAGGGAAGGGCTGCCCACTCCAGTATTCTGGCCTGGAGAATTCCAGGGACTTTATAGTCCATGGGGTCGCAAAGAGTCGGACACAACTGAGCAACTTTCACTTTCAAATAATATAATAAATATGTAACAATATATCTGTGTTATCTAACAGTAATAAAGCACCTGGTATTACTGACCCAGTCACATGGTAGATGCTACTAAATGCTTCATTTTTGTTCCTTTTCTTTTTTTTTAGTGTTCTTGGACACCTAGTTCTTTTCTGTATTTCGGGGGATAAACATAATATAGCCTAGTATTGACTAGTCCTCTCTCCTATTAAACTGTAAGTTATTACTATTAGGACTGTTTTGTTTCCTTTCTCTATAGTTTCAAAACTTCATCACATAGCAGACATTAGACCCATATTCTTACCTCTCCTGTTAGTGACTAAACCTTAAGTAACTAAACTCTTATTCCTTACAAGCAGTTATTAGTATCCCTTAAGATGCTTCGTTTTGGTTATACCTGTTTGGATTTTTTTTAGTCTAGTACGGTTCATGAGCATAATTCTACTTTTGAAATCACGAATATTTCAGTAATTATACCATATACCTATCATACCTACAGTAATTTCCATCAGGTAATTTTCTTATCTGTGAGCTTTCTTCTATCATCAGGATAGAAGATTCTGTCCGTAATGTTGTAAGCGTGTATGACTTTTATGTAATTGCCTAGCTCAGTACCATTATCCACCTTCTTGTGCTTAGTGAATGTCATGCATCTAATACACTACTTTGATTTTAAAATAGAAATTTCATCACATTTTAACACTTCTGAAAATAAAATGCTTTATAATTTGATATTTTAAAACTCTTTCTTAGTAGTACATATAATAATGATATTCTTTATAATCAATGACGTTTTAGGATTGATGAAATACAGTATTACTCAGTAAATACTTGATGCCTTGAATTGAAGTAATACTTGGTGCTACTTTGCCCACTAGCTGCTAAAGTGTGTGGTACCTGTAACTTAAAAAACCAGGGCATTCTCAACTAGGTTATTCTTCTCTTCTGAAGACACAGATTTTTTTCAAAATTTTGACCATCTCTAATATACACCATTCTTTCGACTTTTTCTTGCCCAAGCTAACTATCAGTAAGACCATCTTCACTTACATCAGTGTTTTCGTAACCACATGGATACAGACAAATTTTCTGGGCATTTTGTTTGTAAGTTCATATCTGCCAGTCTGTGGAGTTTGCTCAGTCCTGAATGTAATGAAAGCTCATTAATGAATTGATGCCTCCTAAAAGAACAGTTTCCCTGTCCCTTCTTGGGCCTAGTTCCAGTTTCACTTGTACCTCAAGAAGCCAGTGATCTCTGTAGAATCATTTGGCATATTTCAAATTGAATGGATATGATTTAGCCTAGTGAAAAGAGCTTACACTTTCAAGTCACACAGACCTTTGAAGTTTGGATTTGAATCCAAAAGTTCTACCATTTATATGTTCCATGTGTGACTTTTATTAAATTCTCTTAGTCTTCTAGACTTCTACTACTGTTATTGTTAACCACCATTAACCACATGTACTGTTATGAACGGTTGTCGACAGGCCTCTGAAATCTAACCTGGTACTACCACCCAACCAAAATGGTGCAGCTTACAAGAATCCTAGTCTCTTAGTGAAGAAAGAAAATTATGAAGACAATGTATCTGTTTACCTTTAAAAAAAAATTACATATTTTTGTAAGGGCTATGGCTAGCTTCGAATTGAATTCCTATAGGGAAATACAAGTATTCAGATGAACTTTCATTTTTTCTTTATTGAAAAAAGTTTTTAAAAATCATTCTTAATCTTCTTCTTTAGAATGTAATTAAAAGGCAGTGAGGCTGGCCTGGGTACAAAGTGCACAGATGCATTTCTGCAGAAAATGTGTCTTTGGCAGATGAGATTCTTCCTGTGAATGTTCTGTTTATTGCTGCCATAAATATTATATTGTCAAAACATGACTTGCTGTTTATTAGCAGCACTGACAGGAAGATTCCTATTAATGGTAGCATTCTTATTACCCATAAACCCTGTCACTTTTAACTTTGCAATTCTAAGAGAATTGTATTTGGTAATTACTTAAGATATTTCTTAGCTCATTGATCCCTACCCCTGTTTAACTGAGTGGAGTTTGAGTGGCAATTCTTCTCAGTGACTTACACTGGAAAAAGTCATCAAGGCTGCCTCTTTGTAAGCAAGGAGAGACCTGCTGCCTATCACCCTTGACCTCGTTTCATCCTGCCGGAAACACACAGTGCGTCGAGCACCCACTGAGAGCAGTGTGCTGAGCAAAGACGTACGTGCGGTCGCTACCCTTAGAGAGTTTACAGTCTAGGTTGGAGATAAGCAGAATGTGCAGTTGCTTAACCTGCAGCTGGGATGGGTTGCCTTCAGTCAGAGAGGCATCTAGATCATACTAATTGCCTGTCTTTTGGAAACTTTAACTTCATTTTTATAGTTTGTTTCTTCATTTGAGAACTAGAGTCTATCTCATGGGATTGAGAGAATTAACCTTGAAAGTAGTAAGCATTCTATAAACGTTCATGCTCTGCCTCTTTATGTCATCTCCATGGTTTATAATTGGCAAAAACATGTGCATCGTCTGATCCTCACAACCCAGGACAGCTTGGATATATCCTCATTTGTTGAAGAGGAAAGCTAAGGCTAAGAGAGACAGAGTGTAATACTCAGGCTCATCCAGCTGATTGAATGGTGTAGTCAAACTGAAAGCCCAAGTTTCCTAACTTATGTTCCAGTGTGTTTTCTATTCTTATACCCACACTTGAGTGACTAACATTTAAAATTAGGCTCATCAGTGCCAGTGTATAGAGTTAGTAGACGTCTGCATTTGGAGATGAGGTGAAGGAAAAGAGCCAAGGTTTTCATTGGGACATAAATGGAACCATGTAAGATTATTATTATTATTATTTTATTTTATTATTTTTGGAACCATATAAGATCATTATGGTTTGAAGAAAGGTTTGTGTAAGTATGTAGGGAATGCCCCACAGGTGCCCTAGCTAGAGCAGAAAGCAGAGGACTAGGATAAACCCTAAGTAAGAGCAGAGGGTGTTTGTGTACTGAATTGGTGTTCTTAGAACCCACTTCAGCCTTTCTTTGATGATGGCACTAACCAGAAGTTATTTAGGCTTTGGGATGATGTTTGTGATGTTTTTCAACTTTATTCTCGTTCTGAGTTGAACTGTTCAGGTGATAATGTGGTACAGTAGAAAGTACGTGGCCTTTATAGTCAAAGTGAAGTCGCTCAGTTGTGTCTGACTCTTTGCAACCCCATGGACTGTAGCCTACCAGGCTCCTCTGTCCATGGGATTTTCCAGGTAAGAGTACTGGAGTGGGTTGCCATTTCCTTCTCCAGGGGATCTTCCCGACCCAGGGATCGAACCCAGGTCTCCAACATTGTAGGCAGATGCTTTACCGTCTGAGCCACCAGGGAGATTTATAGTCAAATCTCGGGTCAAATGTCAGCACTCTTAGTCCATAGCAATGTAATCTTGGACAAGTAACTTAATTTCTCTGAGCTTCTGTTTTCTTATCTACAGATTAAACAAAATAAATAATATTTTAAAATGTAATTGTGAAAATTAGGTGGGTTAACAGATATATAATGCCTTGCACCTAGTAGGCATGTAAGAAATTTTAGGTCCTTTAAACCTGTACTTCAACATTTAAGGACCTAAAGTTGCGGTCGCTACATCCTCCTAATTGTATTCTGATTTTCTTCATCTAAAGCAGAATTTCCTTAGATTTCTACTAACTAAGCTCATGTTTCTTAGAATTGAATAATTTTCTCTTTCTTGATAGCCTATTATGGGTCTTTCATAATTATTTTTTATGAAATAATATTAAGTGAAAAGAAGTTCTCAAGTTACACCCAAAATGTAAAAAGGGTCAATTTTAATTTTCCACTATCAAGGCTCTAATAGTAAAAAAGTTTTTGTCTTAATTATAAAATTCATTCTTCCTTTCCATAACTAGAATATGTATAAGCTAGGAAAAGTAATTGCACTGGTTAATAATGGATTATCATTCTTAACAGAGTGGAAGGCATTTCTATAGGGATAAAACTCTTTAGAAATAATATTTATTCATCATAAATAGAAACTGATGCCATTATAGTTCAGTGTTATTTTGTTATCTATTACTTATTGATAAGACAATGATATTTCCCCAGATTCCTTAACGTCTATTACCTATATCCTTTTAAAAAAACTTGTGAAGATAAATGCCGTGAAATTCATGCTAAAAAATCACACGGTGAGTCTTATTTCCTTGAATTAATGACTGAAGTTGTCTGAGTAGTTTAGGTCAAGCATTAGTAACTTTGGATGCTCTTTTACTTTCATTAGAGTGAACACTTCCCCTTTCTTGGCATCAGTGACAGTTACAGTCTCAGTGACTTCAGATGCCGAACAACCTTCTACACAGCCCTCACTCGTCTTCTGATGGTAGATCTAGGTAAGGTTAAGAATATAAGCTTAATTAATAAGGGATCGACAATATATTTGTGTGAATGAAGGAGTGTCATACTTGTGGGTACCATATTTAGCTAATTGGAATTTGCCATCTTTGACAGTTTTCTTACAGCTTTCTAATATTTGAGCATTGACTCACTAGCTTCAGAGCCAAAAGACAAATTTTTGTATAGAAGATGGTATTTTTCGCTTCACTTAGTATTTGTGTTAATTCTTTATTCAAACTTTATTTTCTGGGTGTCCTTTGAGCCTTTCGGACTTCCCTAGTGGCTCAGGCAGTAAAACATCTGCCTGCAATGTAGGAGACCTGGATTCTCGGGAAGATCCCTTAGAGACGGGAATGGCAGTACACTCCAGTATTCTTGCCTGGACAATTCCACGGACAGAGGAACCATGGCGGGCCACAGTCCATGGGATCGCCCAGTGTCAGACACAACTGAGTGACTAAGACTTGCGCTTTGATCCATTAATTTTACTGCTATACAAATCAAAGAGTAATCTTAAATACAGAAAAGCTCAATAAGAAAGATTTTCTTTGTAATGGCATTTAATCTAGAGAAATGTGGCAATGATGTAAATGTCCAACAACAGAGAATTATAAAGTTAGCCGGATATACTTACTTGATGGAATAGTCTGTTGTCATTAAAAATTGTGATTCAAAGACAAAGTAATATGTGAAATTTTGTTATAATATTAAGCAAAAAAGTAAGGTATTAAGCTGTGCAAATGATGTTGAGCATGCTCATTGGGAGAGAAACAATGCATCAAAAAAAAAGTCTTAAATGAAATTCTTCAAAAATGTTAAATGTTGTCTTTGAGTAATGTACTATAGATAACTTCCTCTTTTCTGATAATTTGAATTTTTCCTTACTGTATTATTTTCCTAATGGGAAAAATTAACTTGCTTTTGTTCTATTTTGTTCTATTAGCTTTGAAAAGCTAAAAGTAAGAAGTATCCACAAGTAGATAGCTACCTTAGAATGGGTACTTAAGCTTCTCTGTGTTGACCCTGTCATCCTGGAATCCCATTTCCCCCATGTTTGGATACTTCAGGTTAAATTAGTCAGTTTACAGACACATGAGAGAGTTAAATCAATGACAGTGTCACCCTTAGAGAAAAGAATACTTTTTCTTCCGTTCTCTCGCAATGTATTGATTGATCCATCTATTTAAATATGAGTTTTTTAAAACACGATCATATGTAAAGAAAAGGGATAAATAATTTCATTTTGCACATAAAAGGCATTGACCCTTGTAATAGAAAGATAACTAAATCCTTCTTTGCTCCACATCTATGTTATTTCCATGCATTTCAACAGAATATATTACCAGAAAGACAAACAGCCAAAAGTTGAGGAAAATGCAACTGGAATGATTAAGGAGCTTAGTGGGATTGATTTCTAAAGAAAGATTAAAAGAACCATGTATGTATAACTTGGCTAAGTGACAAGTAGGGCTTGAGGCAAAGAAAACTGTCTATAAATATTTGAAGAGTGTAAACCAGGCATGCAAAACCCAATCATCTGCTACCTTAGGCAAATGGGAGATCTGAGTGACAGCTTCGCATACTGCACACTGGCCTGTGTTACCTCTCAGCGGCTGCCTCGGAGAGCAGAGAGCAGTCCAGACTCTGTCATCGTCCTCCATAATCATTTAGAGCGCACCCTGTGCCGAGCTCTGAGGACAGGGCAAGGACCAGTCAGACATACTGGCCCCTGCCCTAATGGAGCTAGCCTTCTTGCCTTCCCAATTGTCCAAGCATTAAAGGAGATAGTGAAACCCTTGTCTAGACTTAATTTGTTTCCTAAACCTTAAAAATGCTGCTCTTTTACTGACCTGTCAAACAGACTGAAAGAAGCAGGGAGACCAAAGTTAAACAGATACTCAATGTAAGTAAACTAAATCTGAGAGTAGATAAAAATTAAAAACAATATCAGCTGCAGTCAGGGAACTTGTGCATTGTTTGAAAAGAAATTTTTTATTTAACAGTATTTTTTCATTTTTAAAAATAATTAAACATATATTATAAGCATCAAGTGATGATTTGTGGTAAATATTGCCAGAGCTTCCTTCCCTTGTTACAAACCAGAGTTCCTTTTCTTCCCCAAATATGTTGACCTTCTTTAGGGTATAGATTTTGCCTTCTTCATCTTTTCTAGTACCAGTCTTAGTGTCTCTACATTGTAGGTGCTCAGTTAGTATTAGGTGAATGAAGGACACACCACGCCATCATCCTGGCTCCTGAGTTCAGCTCTGCCTGCCATGGTCTCTCTCTGGAAGTAGCCTGATCATTGGGCTCTCGAAGACAAAACAAATCAAGTGGCTGATTGCTTTTGCAAGTGTTTATCTACACTTGGCCACTTTTGTGCTCGATGAGGCACTTGTTGCTCTCTGTTCAAGTTATTACTTTATAGACAAGCATTTGTTGAGTGTTGTTGAACACAGTTTCATTATTTGAAGCCTGTCTCACAAGCTAGATTGACTAGATGTTGCTATCAGAATCCCTGTGTATATGGCTTTATAGTTTTCTGTTGGGTGTTCACTTTCATGAAAACAAGGAAAAAAGAGATAGTGATGTTGTCAAATTCAAAGATCCATGTATTAAATGAGGGAAATATTAGATAATGAGAATTCTTCTAAATTAAACAAAAAAATTGGAGAGGAACATTTTATTTTATATCAGTGATTTTTTAAAAAATCGCATAGAAAATATGCCTAGCCAACCTGCTTGCAAAGCATTGGACGTGATTCTTGGATTGAAATATAAAGCATATTCTAATTGAATCTTACAAAGAAATTGAATATTCTTTGTGTATAAGCCATGCACACTGGAGTGATTTAAAAGGGGGAAGAAATTGGGTGTCACATTAATTGGTATTTACTTTGAAATCCATTTTGGTTTCTATTCAGAAATTTGTACTTTGTATGAATTTAATTAGATGCTATGTGCCCCAGGTTGTATTTCAGATTAAAATGGGGGGGGGGTGTTGACAATAAATAGTTGTACCACTTTATCAAATTGCTCTTTGGCTAAACTAGACAAAATGTTCACTTGTATGAAGAACAGAATTGAAAGCATTTCATCATCAGAAAGACGATGTTTATGTTGGCAACATATTTTTTTATTTTAAGAAATTATAAGAATTAATAAAAGAAAAACCCTTCATGAGATAACATACATACAGAAAAAAATAGTGACCAACCATATGTGCATGCATGTTAGCCCTTCCAAGAATCACTTAAAGTTCCCAAGGTTATTTTTAAATTAACTTTGTCAATCTAATAAACTAAAGGAAAGATAATATTACCCAAGCCAGCAAATGGAGAACCTCCAGGGAGCTGTTCAGTGTAAAATACTTGAATAAATAAAAACCTTCTATTTTGTTTAATTTGAGTGGAGGTGAATTCAGTTGACAAATTATTGAAGAGGGGAAGTGTGGGAGCGAGCTACAATACACCTTTTTGTTTTTCAGGGAACTAAATATTGTTAGTTGCAGGTTAAGTTTTTTACCAACCACAAATTTAGAATTGCTCAGTGTCATAGTTGAGTTTCCTTGGACACTTTATGATTGTACCTTATCTTGAGCTACTCAGATGAGAAGCATGTTGATGGGATCTGAGTGAGCAGTGCTTTCCTCAGATATTCAGACAAGCAGTCATACTTTTCATGATCACAGGGGTACTAATATTAAAATGGTGTTTATGGACTTTAAGAGAGAGTTCTCTCTTTAGGGATGAAGGAAGCATAATATCCATGTACCTTTGTGGCTTCTAATAGGTAATTGGCACCTGAAGATATCTCTAGCTTAAATTTGAAAAATTTGAAATAGCAAGTAAATGACTTGAATAGAAAGGGAAGAGTATTCTAGAAATAGCTGCTAAAGAAAGAAGTGAAAATACAGAGGAAACTCCTTTTCTTTATTAATAACAACTAACATTTGTTTACAAATTTATAGTTTGCAGACCACTTTGACATACATTTTCCTATTTGATCTTCACCACAGCCTATATGAACTAGGTATCACTGCATTGTGTGTCTGTTAGGAAAGTGAGATACAAAGAGATTAAATGACTTGCCCAAGGTCAGGCATATAATTTGTAGCCCTCTGACCATATATTCACTTTTGCTATTCCTTTGCCTGTCACTTTCTCAAATCAATTAGGGAGTGTAACTTTTTCTTCTTCATTTTTATTTGAACTACTTGGACTGAATGATTGATTTGAGGCTGGGGTAAGAAGGGATTACTTTCCAAACTTCTATCTAAACAGATAAGATTCATGTTTATTATTTGTCCTATATTGGTGTATTCACAGTTCTGTGGTCAGTGAAAGTCAAATGTAGTTTTTGAAATTTTTTCTTATGTCTAATAATTGGCTAAAGTGTATTCCTTCTCATGGAAAAAAGGACACAGGAGTAGATAGATATCCCAGGAGGATTTAGTAAGTGAGAAGCTTGATCAGAAATAGTCAGTGTTCTGATAGATAGGAAGAATACCTCAATGTCTATCACTTGTGTCTGTGACTTGGCAGAGACTATCTGGAAAATAGACATTTGTTGGGGTTGAGGAGGGAGTGGGCAATAGTGGGTAAAAAAGCAGCTGGAAATACTTAGAATCTATAATGAGATAATTAAGACTAATTAGCTGGCCCTGTAGGCAGAAAGCAGCCCATTAAATTCAGATCCAGTTTTAATAACTTACCTGGTTTTGAGGGTAGAGTCCAGAGCACCCCAGGGAATGAGATGCTTCAGGGGAGAAATTTTTAGGATAGGTTTCTTAGAAAAGAAATAAGTAGCCTTCTGTAGACATGTATTTTTCTGCTGGGAACTAAAATAAACATTCTGGTTCCCTAGGGAGAAGAATTAAGATGTGCCTCAATTTTCTCATCTGTTAAATGGAGATACCTACTTTGAAGAACTGGAATGTGGTTTAAATAAGATAGCATGTGTGAAAGGGCCTGAAACAATTCCTTTCACAAAACAG